CGCTATGAGTCAGGGCTGACTCAAGGGCAGCTAACAGCAAGGTTGCTCTCCTCTCTGTCTCACCTGCTTCATTGCCACCAATTCCCAGGAAAACCAGGAGACTGCTTTGGCTCCACTGGTTCGGCAAGGGGAGATGCTCAGGAGCAACGATTGTGTCCACTCTCTTGACCATTTTCTCCTTTCCAGGTCTCCAGCTGATGGTGGCATAAGTGCGCTTTCACCCGCAGGACCATGGCACCTGAATGCAAGCAGAGCAGCATTGGAGCAAGCGTTGCCTTTACGCTCTGACCTTGTGCATCGCACACTGCAGTTGCAGAACGGGTCGTCAGCCCCACGCGCTGAGCACTACTGATCCATGCACATCCGCCTACGTTGATATTGATATTCAGCACAGGGGTTGCAGAATGGAAACCCCGCCAGCGGATATTTAAGCTACGGAGAAGCGATGTATTTAATGCACAACACACCGGTGTGCAGTGATGTGCAATGACACCACATGCATAGCTCGGCTTTCATAGCCTTCGACAGAACAGGAACATTATGCATCAGTCAAAAATAATAATAATAATAATAGTACAGTTGTTGCAAGTGGAAGGGAACCGACGCATGCAGAAGGCATCAACAGGATCTTGGCCGACATTTTAAAATGCCTTTATTATGTGTGGTTTTTCTTTTTTTGGACAGCAGTTCTTGGTGGTGCAGCTGTGAGTCTGGAGGTCATTAGGGGTCTCCGTGGCTGCATTGACCCTCCAAGGGCCACATGCCTGCCAAGCCTTCCCTGGACATTTCCCAGTGCAAAAGTCTCCAGCGCATAAAGGCCGCTCGCTCTGTTTGGAGAGAAAGGAAAGAAGAGAGGTAAAGGATGGCAAGAGGGTCTGGTCCGGTCCGGTCCGGTCCGATCTGTCCAGCCGAGGCCTCCCTTCTTTGATTTGCAAGGCTCCCCTGCCCCAGGGCCATGGCTTGTGTTGCTCCCATTGCCACAGTTGTGTGTCTGTGTGTGTGTTGTGGGGGTTGGAAGCAGGAGCAGCCCTGGGCGCCTGCTTCTTGGCTTCCCCTGTAAACTGCAAGAGTGAAAATTAAATGCTAATGAAGCTCTTTGATTTAATGGCAGACAAGAGGGCTGGGGTGTTGCTTTGCCTCCTAGACTATTATTATGCAAATGTGCGGGGCCTAGATCTTTCTTTCTCCCCCATTTAGCTGGAATCCGCTCTTCCTGGCTCCATTCAAAGCTCAAGGAGTGAGTGCACTTGCCTCCTTCCTTAATGATGGTGGCACAACCGGGGATGGAAGGTGCCCATGGCATGCACACACACACACACACACACCCAAGTGGCCCTCACTTGCCTTGCCATCCCTTGCCATTGCACATTGCACATTGCACATTGCACATTGCACATTGCACATTGCACATTGCACATTGCAGGGGAAGGTCAGCATCGGAGGGGACGCAGGGGTCCAGGGGTCAGCCCTGCTGGGCCTTGGGGGCCTGAAATGCTCTCCTGGCAGGCAGGCAGAGATTGCCTTGGGTTCCTCACACCTTTGTGGTGGTTTGTTTCTCCGTTCCTTGGCTTGTGTGGCTTTTAATGAGCCACCCAGTTCCCCAAAGGCCTGGCGGGAAGAGGAAAGATGAAATGGGAATGGCTTC